GGGAGGGGGGGGGTCCGTCGCCTAACGTCCATCCGTCGACTGGCGCACTCTCGCAGGTGTGCACAGACAGGCTCTGCTCCCTCCGCGGCCGTCACCGCGTCGGCGGGCAGCGCGAAGACGTCCTCCAGCGGCACCTGGCCGTGCGATGCTCGGGTTGCTCCAGTCCCTCCACCCTTGAGATCACCACACCCGCAACAAACCGGCTGCCTCTCGGCTGCCCCTCGGCTGCCCCTCGGCTGCCTCTCGGCTGCCTCTCGACTGCCCCTCGGCTGCCTCCCGGCTGCCCCTCGGCAACATCTCGGCTGCCTCTCGGCTGCCTCTCCGCACCATCACATCGACAACGAGCTTCTGCGAGAGCGAGAGCGCGCCCCGCACCAGGTCCGCCTCGTCCTCGTGGAAGGCCTGCTCACGGCCAGGTAAGGTAAGGTAAACCTCTCCACACACACGAGGTGGCGGGGCAAGGGCCAGGCTAGTCCCTCGCGTCTCCACGTCTGACGACAGGAGCCCCACGGCATTCATAGTGCAAGGCCCAGTGCGCGTGGGTGAGCGGTGTGTGTGTGTGTGCTCACGGCAAACTAGTGAGCTGGCCGACTCCGACCCTCCGCCTCGTGCACGCCCTACTCACCTCCTGTTGTTCTCCTCCTTCGCACCCGCTGTGCTCCGCTTGTGCTCCGCTGCTCTCTCGGCTCCTCTCGGCTCCTCTCGGCTCCTCTCGGCTCCTCTCGGCTCCTCTCGGCTCCTCTCGGCATCTCTCGGCATCTCTCGGCTCCTCTCGGCATCTCTCGGCATCACTCGGCATCTCTGGCGCGCCTCTCCCGCGCTCGCGCTGTGCTCCGCCGCCATCTCCCGCTGCACGTCCACCAGCGCCTTCACCTCGTGCCTCGTGGGCAAGCCTTCGGCGTGCGGCAGCAGCCGGTCCAGCGCCTATGGGGAGGTTCCGGGCGCCGGAAAGTGTCGGGGAAGGTTCCGGGCCGTCCTCGTCGGCAGCGGCCGGCGCAGCGCCCAGCCGAGCGGGTACGAGATAGGGGAGGAGAGCATGACGATGAACCAGGCGAGGGGCGAGAGGAGAGCGGCGATCCTACTCCTCAGCAGCAGCTGCGTGAGTAGTGAGCCGTGAGCCGTCCCGCAGCGGGCGGAGGGAAAAGGGCGTAGACGCTCCTCATCTTGGCAGGGCCGGTAAAGACCGCGGCGGGGATGATCTCGCCAACGAAGAGGACCGCGGTGACGGAGATGAGGATGGCGGCCCAGGGAGGGACCAGCTTGTCCAGAAAGAGCGGCATCGCCTCGTTTGCGATCGCGTTCAGCAGCAGCAGCGACACAAGCAGCTGGTGCCGAGGCGACAGCCGGATCAGCGGCAGAATCCGCGTCGCGTACCTGCGAGGTGGTGAGGCGCTCTCCAGCGAGACCGCCCGTCCTCGCTGGTCCGTGGAGGGTGGCTGCATCCGCGGCTGTTTGAGGAGCGGCCTCCCGACAGGTGGCACCGCTCGCGCACCCTCGCTCGGTCTTGGACTCGTTGACGTTGCGCTCCTTGACGCGGAGCTCGAGCTCGTCGAGCGAGACGACGCCCATCGTCAGACCCGACGCCGTAGCGGCCATGAGCATGCAGCACAGCGCCACGCTCAGATTCATCCAGTCCTCTGGCTTGTCAAAGCTGGCAAAGTGCGACGGCTCCTCCTCGAGCGACTCGAGCGGCGAGGCCTTCAGCGCGGCCAGCTTTGAGCACAGGGCGGTGGCCGAGTCGAGGCCGACGCCGCCCTCGTGCAGCGTGTCCAGGCAGCCGGACAAGAAAGGAGACATCCGGCGGCTTCGTCGGGCAACTCTGGCGCCGCCAGTCCACAAAAAAAACAAAATATGCCCTTAGCTCCGAGTAGAGGGCGCGCTCCGCCTGCTAGGGGAAACCTGGAGCGCGGACTAACCCTCGGAGACCCGTGTTTACTTTAAGGCCCTTTCCCTGCGATCTCGCACCCCCCCCTAGCTAGGGGTCAGGGTGTGTGTGTGTCACACTCACTCACACACTAGCAACAACAAACACAAACTCTCTCTCTCTCACACTAGGGGTCAGGGCCCTCTAGCCCGTAGCCCGATCCCGATCATCCGGCTCGCTGGGTGCGCTTCTTAGCTCCCCGGCCCTGGATGTGAGGTTAATAACTGCACTCCAAGTGCTCCAAGTGTGGATGTGAGGTTAATGACTGCACTCCAAGTGCTCCAAGTGCTCCAAGCGCCTCTGCAGAGAACGACCCCTCCGGGGAGGCCGGCCTTCCCCGTGCCCGGCCCGGTCCTCCCCACCCAACCCCGCCGGCAGCGCGAGCTGCCGGCCACATTGAGCGGTTCGTCCGCGTCGCGCACTCGTCGCAACCGGGGGCCGCAGACTCGTTCTGCGCGCCAACGGCTGGTGACGCTGTGTTGCCCTTGAGCTAGTCCTTCCCCGGTCGCCTAGCCTCTGCGCTGTCTGGCGGACGCCTGTATGCCATGCACGCGGACCACGCTTGCGTGGATACGTGGCTCGCAGGCTGACCCGTGTGCGGGGTAACCCGCGCACGGGAAGCTTCACGGCGGTTCGAGTCGTCAAACATTAAGCAGCGGAGGTGTGCCGAGGGGGGCCGGGAGGCGGTAAGCGCCGTCGTCGCCCGGCGCTGCTTGCAGCACCATGGCGATGGCGCTAAGAGGTTCCTCTTTTCCGCGCCCCCCCCGCAAGGCGCGCGATACACGACTGGCAACTAACGCCTTGTGGACTGGTGTCAGAAGAGTCGAAGTGCTGGCGCGAGGAGAGCTCGATATTAAAACTCGAGGGGCCAAAATATGAGCAGGCCCACATGGCTTCCAGGGAGGGGGGCGCGCTTCTCTGCACGCCCCCCTCCCTGGAAGCCATGTGGGCCTGCTCATATTTTGGCCCCTCGAGTTTTAATATCGAGCTCTCCTCGCGCCAGCACTTCGACTCTTCTGACACCAGTCCACAAGGCGTTAGTTGCCAGTCGTGTATCGCGCGCCTTGCGGGGGGGGCGCGGAAAAGAGAAACCTCTTAGCGCCATCGCCATGGTGCTGCAAGCGGCGCCGGGCGAACACGGCGCTTACGGCCTCCGGGCCCCCTCGGGACA